AAAGTTTCTGTGAGATATTCTACATCCACGGAGTTGTTCATATAGCACCAATCATAAGTTTGTAATTTGGCTTTAATTTTTTTGTTATTTATTTGCGATATCATGCGTTCAGGTGGGTTTTTAACTCTTTTAGCTGGGAGAGTAATAAATGTAGCTTTATGATCAGTTACATTCAGATCTAGTACTGCTGATATAAAATTTGTTTCGGGATCAAGAATACCTTTGACGAATATATGATCTATACAACTCTTTGTTTCACCCTGAATACGAGCACTTTTATTGATGAGAGATAAAGTCATTTTCACTAAGGGAGTCCAAATATTCTGATGATATTTCGTTTTCCACCTCAATGTTTATATTAATGTCCCCTGCGAGAATGTGATATTTTTCTTGGACATTTTTAGTTTCTGCTAAGTAATTTTTCAATCCTTCACTGAATACGGCTTTATTCGTCGATGGGGATCTATATACGACAGTTACCAATGTGGAGTTGTTATATTCATCAATATGTAGTGCTTTAAATATGTTGATTGGAACAATTTTCCATCAGTACTTCAGCGTTTTCTTGTTATATACAACAACTCCATCATTCCTATTTACATATCCCTCATTGTATATCATATCCGGGTAGAGTAAACAGCGAAGTTGTTGGAATTCGCAATGTTTCAGTCAGACATATACAATCTACGTTAAAAGAAATTTGATTTAAATGTATACTTAATTCGTCTAAATTTTTACTTTATACTCCTAATGTTCTGATGAAAAAGACTGAAATTAAACTTTTTTTTATTTTCATGTTGGCTCATAATTGCATTTAATTCATCGATGTCATTCATTTCTATTGTATTTATAGGAGTGTAATTTACATCTCGAATATATGGATTCATTTTTATGTACCTGGTAATATTACTTATCAAATAAAATAAGAAACAAAAAAAATAAACAAATTTTAACAAATATCTAATACAATTTTAATAGCACGACAAGCAGAAATGGGCAAGGTGAGGAACAACTGCACCACATTTTTAAAGTATAATCACAAAACTTAGAATATATTGAAATGATAATATAAATAAATGTGTAATTAGTGTTGTTGGGAATTTTGGCTGGCTAATCTAGTAACCCGAAGAGGCTAGCCGCGAGTTTAGTGTGCATCAACATACTCGCAACAGTTAAGCAGTGATGTCTCCGGTCACTGGGAGGTTTTACCATGGGCCGTGTCACCATGGGATTCATCCGACTAGCGTTTAACCATCGACAACGTGGAATGAATGAGGGTGTGAATAGGAAAGTAGTAGGACCATCAAATGGTGGTACAATAAGCCGCAGGCTGCAGTGCTGCCAGACTACAGACGGATTAGGGTGTAGCACGGGAAGTCTGAAGGGTGTAAAACTAAAAAAAAAAAAAAAAACCCTTTTAATTGGAGCTTCAACCGTATTTGGTGCTTCTTGAATTTTTGGTTTTGTAGATGTTTTAGCTATTTAAGTAGCAAAGACATCCTCGGTGAGATTTCTTAGTCCTTCTGCCGTAAATTGTTTGTTGTTGACATAGAGTTGATTCTTCTTTATGTGTGCCTCTTGGTGGTTGAGTCTTGCTAGTTTTAAATAGTTTTAAATATTTGTGTAATAATTTGCGATCTTGGTAATCTTCTGCGGTGTAGTCTTATGATATGGAAAGTCCTGACGATTTTAAATATGCCTGGTTTTTTAGGATGTTTTGCAATAATTTGTAATGGATGAATTCAACAAGTAGCGGTCTCGGATTTTTTAAATTTTGGTTTGAGTTTCCAATTCTATATAAATCCCTAATTTCATGGAACTTACAATCAATATCGAGTTTAGTATTTATTAATTCAAGGATAGTATTAATATCTTCTAATTCATCGCTACCATTATTTTCTTTTATTCCATATGCAATTACATTATATTTTTTTGATTTTCTTTCATTTTTCAATGTTCTTATTTTTATATTATTTAGTTCTGTTTTTAAGTAACTATTTTCGCTTTTCAAATTATCAATTTCTTTATTATATTCTTTCTTTAAATTAAGAATTTCATTTTTTATCTCGCTATTTTGTTTCTTAATTTATTCGTTACTAGATATCAAATTATTTAAAAGTTTGAGTAGATCAGCATTAGTAATAGTTTGTTCATTTTCATCGACCATTTGTAAATTTGTATAGAAAGATTAAGATTTATATTTGGGCCAGTTGAACTACTATCTTGGGTTTATAAAAAGTGGTTTTGTGAACTTTGGCTTTAGTTAAGTGGTTTAAATGCAATTTCTACTATTGTTTCAATCAATTTTTCAAATCAAATATTACAGTTGGTTAGTGGTTGTGTTTGTACATTACCAGTAAAAAAATTAGAATTTCACTCGATCTTTTTATCACTGTTTTGGTAGGATTTAGCTAAGCACTTTAAAACGTGTATTTTAAACCGACTAATTCACTTCGATCCCTTAAAATGTATTTAACAATATTTTATTTTAAAAAACTAAAAACAGTTTTTAAAAAATATAAGGAAATCAGTTTATTTTTAAACATAGCTTATATCTAATTACTTCAAAAGTCTTCACGCTTCCCGAAAACATAATTTTTGCAGCTTTAATAAGATTTCGAGTGTTTAGCTATTAACTCCGACAATACTTGCTTGTACCGCCGAATAACATTCTTGTGGTATTTTACTAAACATGAACTGTTGTTTTTTTAGTTTCAACTTATGCTCTTTCAACTTTGTCTTCGTAATTATCAAATTTTAATTTATGTTGGTCATAGTGGCGTTTAATGTTATATAATTTTGGTACGCTACTAGTAAAGTCGCCTTATTTTGGATGGTTTCCCAATTTCGGATAGTGACGTATTACAAAGGCCACATGTATTTAAAAATCAGATACATGTTCATAAGAAATCCGTAATGGTGCAAATTTTACAGTTTGCTTTGCAATTAACTAGATGGCAGCACCATATGTATAAATTATCCAAACCGAGTTTTTATCGGCGCTTTACTGCAATCTGTATTTAGTGAATGAAACAAGCTTTTATATTCTTGAAAACGTGTGCGAGGTAAGTTTAGACATTAATAAAAGTGTGCAATTTTTAATAATTAAAAAATATAAATTAATAAAAAAGATATAGGTTCCTAACCTAAAAAACGTAAAGCTGCCTAATTTCGGACAGTCGAGGTTTCCTAATTTCGGGTATCCGAAATTAGGACATCAAATATCCGAAATTAGGACATCAAATATCCGAAATATAAAACAAACATTATTTTTTGTTGGTAAGCGATTATTATTTATTTCTGTAACCTAAAATAATGTTTGGTTTAGGTAAACATGCCCAAAAGTAACACAAAACATAAAAAATGGGACCCAAATCAGATAAAACTAGCCGTGAATGCGGTCAGGGCCAAAGAAATGGGGTATCTTAAAGCTTCTAAATTATTTGGTATTCCCAAGTCAACCCTAGAAGATTATGTCAAGCAGCCTAACAAGACCCCTGAAGAGCTAATTGCGATGTCAATTGGAAGGAAACCGGTACTTTCTAGCGAGTAAGAAGAAAGCTTGGAAATGGACCGTCGATTTTATGGCATTGGCGTAGGGGACATCAAAAGACTAGCCTACCAGTTAGCCCTAAGAAATCGAATCCGTCATCCATTTTCTCAACAGACTGGTGCCGCAGGAAAAAATGGCTAAAAGGTTTCTTCAAGCGACATCCAACTTTAAGCCTTAGAAAGCCACAAGGAATTTCAAAAGCAAGGATTAAAGGTTTTACTCCTGAAAACGAAAGTAAATTTTTCAATTTACTTGAACCTGAAATGGAAAAAATAAATAAATAAATAAATCAAACTTGTTATGCTCGCAGCCCAACGGGTATAGACTTTCTCAAAAATTAAAGTTGAAAATGTCAATGTTAAAGCTAACAATATACAAATTTTCATTGACGAAATGCTTAAACTTCGACTCCACAACGAGCCCAGCCTTTATTTGTATTTTCATTCCCTCACGAATTACCTCAATTTATGCTTGGCAAAAACAATTTTTATTTTATGGGGAAAAAGAAAAAATAAAAACAAATTCTCACAGGTCTTCAGGACCTTTTATTCCAACGACCAACGCTTCAATCCATCCAGTATCTCCCCAAACTATTGGGTGGGTAGCCCAAGCCCAAGTACAGATACGTATGTACCTCGACCGTCCTCATAATCTGCGTCAATATCTTATATTAAATTGTAGGTCAAAGAGATTAGTAGTGTTTAAAAAGTTTTACAATTAAGACATAAAACCAACGTTCGCAAAAGTATTAAAAAATTATAAAACTGGATTGTTAAAATTCAATATTATTTTTTGATACGTTGGTTAATGATTAATTAATTAGTATTATTATTAATTATTATTGTAATTTTGTGAGAAATTTATAGTAATATTTTTTTGCATATTCTATTGTATACATTCATCAAAAATCTAGTTTTATTTTGAATAGAACATCCTCTAAACAACTACATGGTTATCTTTATTTCCACTAACAAGGATGTGAAGCATAATTAATGGATCAAACGACTTCCCTGAAGGAAGTTCGATTCTAATTATGCGAGCACCCTGGTTAGTGGAAATAAAGTCCCACCTCCACCATATTTATATTATTTTTAACCTCAAACTCCTAGGCTCCACAACAGGTAATGAGTAATGTAGACAGTCAGAGATAGAGAGTGACGTAAAATTTTCGCATAATTAGGATCGAACTTCCTTCAGGTAAGTCGTTTGATCCATTAAGTTTGAGGTATACTAGTCATAAACTTCTAATAACATGTATTATTTCCTAGCTTTCATGTCTATTTTTTATTTGATTGTGAAGATTTATAGCCAGATTTGTAATCTTGATTGCCTTACGGATAGTTTAACTCAGTAGAAATGAAAAATAAACTTAATGTATACGTTACTAATTAGATATATTTAAAAAAAAACATTTGACATTTTTATTAACAATAGTAGAATATAAAAATTAGCACTTATTGCAGGAAACAATTGAGTTGACCACTTTTCCAAGTTGGGATGCCACATCTATAGCAGAACTTTTCAAGCATTTGACAACAGCGTTAATGAAATCGGGCAAATCGTTGCGAATGGGAGCAAGGTTGGCATTAATCTCTGGAATATCTTTGGCTACTGCAATCGCTATTTCACTGATAACCTGAAAACATATTCACATTTTTTACTAATTAAACATCATTAAACCTTTCATTTGGCAGAATAATTTGCGGTATTTACAGTTTTAAATAAAGCGATTTTGGTTGTTCTTGGTTACTTTCTGTGACGTCATATTTAAGCCCGTTGAAACATCATTAATTATAATCGGTAAATACCTAAGTCCGGACGTGGGTTATTAATGACAAGTGCCATGCGTGTGTTTTTTCGTTATATTTATACTCGCTTAGTCAAATTTGAAAGTTAAATTAGGTGTTACTATTTCTTCTGTATATAGATATATGCAACTTATCAAATGTTTCCATAAGGAAAAAACCGAGGAAAATCACTAAAGTCTATTCATATTTCAAATACGCCCGATGTAAACAGTGATTAGCACGTGATAAGTGCGTCTAGCTACGTGTTTCCCAATTCTCGCAACGCTATTATGCGGTCAAACACGAACGTACTTCGACGCCAGATGACCGATTTGACCAGTGTTATATTCGGCTCAGTTAGCTTTGGCTGCGTAAAAGTAAATATTTTAGAGTGTAAAGATTTGTGTTATTCTTGGTTTTGATTGAACAACCATTTAGTTTTATTGCACAAAGTATGTGTTGTTTGTTTACAACTTTTTAAGAATATGTACAATATTTTTGTTTAAAAATAAAAACTGCTGATGCGTAAACTAAAATAAATTGCAGGAAAAGGAAAAGAAAAAGACTTAATATATGTCATATCGGCAACGAAGACGGATTTGTGCAGGATGCACTATGGGTATTTGAATCCAAAAAGTCTGGTGATTACCACGATGAAATGACTGGACAGTCATTTTAAAACTGGTTATCAAACACTTTGCCCAAGTTAGAAGACAATTGTGTCATAGTATTGGATAACGCATCCTATCATTCGAGAAAAGTGGAGAAAATACCTGCAACGGCATCTAGGAAACCAAAAATTCAAAACTGGTTACTGTCAAAGAATATACACTTCGACGATCAAATGCTTAAAGTAGAATTGCTTGCCCTTGTTAAACAGTACAAAAAGCAGTATGACAAATTAATAATAGACGAAATCGCTAAACAGCATAATAAAACAGTATTGCGCCTTCCACCGTACCACTGTGAGTTGAACCCAATAGAATTAATTTTGGCAGATATGAAGAATTTTGTGGCCGACAGAAATGTAACTTTTAAAGCCGACATGAAAATTCTTTTTGACGAAGCGTTATTATTAATGTCTCCAGAGAAATTACTGTATTGAACATGTACGTCAAAAGGTAGAACCAAAAATGTGGGAACTAGACAATATCATGGAGGTTCAAATTGACAATTGTAATAACAGTTGGTGATAGTAGTAGCTCAAGCATGTCAGAATTAGAGTCAGAATAATACATTTAAGTAAGTCAGTAGCTATAGTCCCAAAAAAGCTTTCTAAAAAAACGTTCATTTTAAAAAGTAACCCTTAAATGTAGGAAAGTAAGCTGTTATGGCTTCTAATTAATAAAAAAATATAGCATATATATTAAAATTTTCACTCAGTCCAGTCCTGGTCCCGATTATGTACAATACATATTTTAAGATTTATTAATATTAAAATAAAAACAAATTCAAAAAATTATTTTTTCGCCTGGTTCACGAGCTTAATGCGGCCCTGTTCTGTTTAGGTCTTCACGTGATTCTGTTGACAGCGGGCGTATTTGAAATATGAATATAGTATAATAATAAGTGTTAACAAATTTCCATTAATTTCTATTTTGGAGCAAATAAAAATTATCCCTGAAATTAAATGTCAAATTTTTTTATCTATTTTACAAAACGATTTAGCGTTAATGCGTTACAATAGCCGATTACCTTTTAAAGGATTTAGTAACGTGATTTCAAAGTTAACCAAGGCTACAAACCAAAGTGTTTTCTGATTCATCGCTTTAAAAGGATTATTGTGAGATTACAGATTTAATAATGTAAAGCCTGGTTGAGTATCAAATCATATAGACCGTCAGATAGTGACCGATTTAGGCGCCCCATTTTCGAACACAAGCCTCGAAGAGGTTTGAAAAGTACATCGATGTTGAGTAGAATAAAATAAAATTTACGACTGACTCTTGGGGATAATACATGGAAAATTTGATTTTCCTTATTAGAAAAATTTTCCGACCCCAAAATGCACTTATACAGTTAGGTCATTCAAGAAAATATATTTTTTGGACTAGTGACGATGTACGTTTTCATACATTCGATGGGCTTATGTGGAAAAATCTGGTAAAATCTCGATTTTTTCCCTAGAAGATTACGCCCTTATTTGAACCCTTTAGCCACTTGCTACATTAAAGCCTTTGGTTTTCAGAAGCCCAGTTCTATTCATTAATCATATAGTGAAAACGGCTTGCGTGGAAATATGGACAACAAATAACCTTTCATTTTTGTTGGGCAAAATCGAATTTTCCATGTGTTATCCTCAGGAGCCACTCGTAAATTTACTTTCATTATACTTAAAATGGATGTACTTTTCAACCCTCTTCGAGGCTTGCATGCGAAAATGGGGAACCCAAACCTGTCACTATCTGACGGTCTAATATCATAGTGGAAAATATATTTAAAATAAATATTTTATCTTAAAAATTATTTTTTTTGTGTGTCATCGGCTTGAACTACTAAGGTTATTTCGCATCGTGTTTTGTGAAGGCTTTGTTACTGTTTCCCAGCGCCACTTTAGGAACAGCACTGTTAATTAGAACCCAACAGTGAATGGTCGAGTGGGGAATCCTACTGTTACTTAAAAAGTATTATAAATATAACTTACTTGAATGGCGCAGAGAATGTCACCTGTATCATTATCAATACAGTTGTCTAGATCTTTAGCGATAACGCTGGTTTTATTGGCAGTACGGGCGAGGTCCTTGACCAATGAAGTTAAGTCAGAAACGAAGTTGCTTATTTCATCTTTAGCGCATGTAGTAACACTCTTAACCGAATTAGCGGCAATATCTGCAACACTTGATTTTTCACTGGTGATACAGCCGATTAGTTTTTGTCCCCCAGCATTACTTTCTGCAAAAAAGGCAAAGAGATGTTTAAGGAATAATAATAACAATAATAATATTATTAAAAATAATAACAATAATTAATTTATTTGCACTATATAATAATATAACATAGAGATAGATATAAATAAATGAAAATTGGTAAGTACCCAAGTCAATATTTAAAAAAATTAAATTAAATACACAAAAATAATAGATAATAAAATTACAAAGCTCAAAAAGTGTTAGTAAAATATAATATACAGTACGTTAACCGACGAATCAAGCGAAATAAATATGGGACGCTTAATTATATTTGGACGTGAGTAGATTAACCCTTTAAGTGGTAGAGTCAGTTAACTAACCAATATTCAAAAAACCCGGCCTGTTTTAAAATCTTTGATTCTGCTGTTCTAATATCATGTGTTGCATGTACTGAAACTCTACTAAATGTTCCAAGGTACACTCAGCTAACCGATGTAAAAGATGCGCGCCATAACATGTAAAAGTGATTTGTGTGCATTTGATGCTGTTCTGAATTTAAGAGTGTTTGTTGTTAAACTTCTGTGTATCCAAAAAGATAAGTAAAAGTAACTTTAATTGTATTTTGTTATGTATGATGATTACGGTGCATTATATTTTAGTGATTCATATTATATGCAGTAAAATAAAACCAACAAAATTTTCTGTTGTTATAGGTTAGGTTTTAATAATATTTTTCTACATAAAGAATAATAATATTAAAACTTAATTTATTTAGATATTCTATTATGTATTATAGAGGCACGAAGTTAATATATTTCGAGTAAAACATTACGGCTTAGATAATAACCAGGTTTAATAGTAACCTAGTAGTATGCTGAGACTGCAGAGAAATGTTAAAATATGAATATTTTTTAGAATAGCTTTGATATTATATTTGTTATGAAGAGTCAGAATATCTACACATAGCTTTTAAAAAAATTAATTTTGCTGAATTATAGAAAATATACAGTATGTCGCAAAAATACTGCACGATATGGAAAACTTTTTTATTGTTCATTTCGCAAGAATAACATCTTATGAGAAATTAATAACATGTTTTCAATATGGCGCAGACATTTTACGATACAACGTTGATACGTTGAGACAGTGACGCAGAAGATACCGTAGCAACCTACAGTACAGAAAGTTATGTCAGTGGCTCTGGAACAAGTCATTCACCGTACTTCGTCCACTGATTGCGAAAGTTCCAGATAACAGGGATTCACGAATAAGAATTTCCGGTTCTATTGAGTTTGAGAACAACCCTATTGATAGTGATGACTCTGTCGATGATCCCCATTACGTGCCATTAAAGAATGGGAATCAAGAGCTAACAAATCATCAAATCTTAGATTATTCATCATCGGACTTATCCTCAGATCTATATACATCATCAAAAAGTGATAAACCGTTGTTCACAAAAGAGAATATTCCTGAAACTTTTAACAAGTATAATTTTTCGCAGTCATACTGCCCTACATTTGAAGTAAACACAGAGAGCCACATGGATAATTTACAAAAATTTTTGACTATTGAACTTATGAATCACGTTAATATGCATCTCAAAATGGCGTTGAACTAAATATGGATATTGATGAACTGAAAGCAGTATTTGGAGTTTTAATAATCATGGAATTTCACTCATTACCAACAATAGAAAAGTATTGGTCGTGTGATGAAAATTTTAAAGTTTCAAGGATTGCTAATAAAATAACTCTAAAGCGTTTTTTGAAACTGATGCGCTTTTTACACCTCAACGATAACACAACAATGGTAGAACCTTAGATAAAAAAACACAGTAGAACGAAATACTTCACAATTTGACAACCTGTACAAAGTCAGGCCTATGCTATTTTACAATTCGGAAAAGTTTCAAAAAAATTTCAACCCATCTAAGCAAATGGCAGTAGACGAGAGCATGGTTGGTTTTAAAGGTAGATCATCATTGAAAGAATATATGCCTGTAGAACGTGGGTTTAAGATTTGGGTCCTTGCCGACTGTCAATCTGGATATATGTTGAATTTTAGTGTATACGAAGGAAAATGTAAGGAAACAGAAAACGGAACTTTGGGAGAAAAAGTAGTTCATCGATTGACAAATAAATATCTCAACGAAGGTTACTGCATTTACTTGTGATAATTTCTTTAGCACTTATACGCTCATTAAACAGTTATTGGCAAATAATACATTTGCATGTGGTACCTTCCGCTCTAATAGAAAATATTATCCCACACAAATAATGAAGACTGATAACAACATGAAGACAGGAGGTTTTGATTTTGCATCTTCCAGAGAAATAAGTTTTTGTAAGTGGAAGGACCGGGGTAAAAAATGTGTAATAATTATTAGATCTCTACATGATCCTAGTGTAGCCTGCAAGATCAACCGAACAAATAAAAAAGGTGAAAAAGAAGAACTTCAGTGTCCTAAACCTATCGCAGATTACAACGCATATATGGGAGCTGTCGACCGCTTTGACCAGTACATGTCATATTACAATATCGCCTGGAAAAGCCGAAGACTAAATATTGATTGTTTTAATATTTTTTTGTAAGTGGTCAATAAATTAACCTCTAAATTTTTTCGAATAATTTTTGCCTAAAGTAACAAAAGTCACATAACTAACTACCCCCATGAGTCACTAGGGTACAAGCTAGATTTTCTTAAATATTTTTTGGAGTTCCTTAAGATCATTTATAATGATGCAAAATTGTCCGTTTGCCACTTAAAGGGTTAAAGTAATTGGTTTAACCAAGGCCTTGGGTGGCAAACATAAAATATTGCCGTCCGTCACGTTACTTTACAGTTCTTCTGATGTCAGAATTGGATATTTAATTTATTGCATACAAATATGGTGAAATGGAAAACTTTCACGTCATCAAAATTTATAAATTATCCTGGAGTGGTGAAGTTGCCAAAAATATAAACAATTTAAAATTAGTATGTGTATAATAGAGTATGCATCTTAGTTTTTGCAAGTATAAAAAATATGTTCTTTCTATTTCATATGCGATTCCAAATTTACGGGATTTATTATTACATATTCATTACTGGCAATAATATTTAGTTAAATAAAGGAAGAAGCTGTGAATTTGTTACAGTAAATAGGTATGTAAAAACTTTTTCGTACGACCACTTAGGAAAGTGACACATATCAGCACATCACACTATATGGAAAGTGCCCTATATTACACGCGTATGAATAGGAATTTACTTTCCACCCGTGTGCGAATATGCTACTTTCCGCATCAGCTGTCACAAAATATCATACGCATCATTTCTATTTTGATCTATGTAATGTCCATATTAATACTAAAATCGATATGATTGTTAAATTATTGAAATTGTTGCAAATTAGATCCTAGATATTTATCTTTAACTAATATTATTAAAATTAATTTTATTTTTTGTTTTTTTCAGGTAAGATGTCAACATTTTATTTCACGATTACTAAGGGTATGTATTTTTATTACTGTTATATTTATTACTATTTTTATATTTTTATTTTGAATTATTAACCCAAGAGCCCACTGCAAATATGCCCCGAAGGCTTGTAAAAACATTGCACTTTACCAAATGGCACCTGTGCTAATCCTCATCCTGAGCAAACTGGTTAAAAAAAAATATTTTTTCTAATTTTGACATATTAAATAACATCTTTTGTAATCGTAGAAAATGCCAAAACGATCTACTTTATGCAACCAGTTGTGTAAAGTAGAACATTATGCAAATGATAACGAAAAGTTGATTATGTCATCAGGTATGAAATGAATATAAATAAAAATGTATTTTTTTGATTTTAAATCAAAATTTACATTGCTTTTGAAGAGTGAATGGTTGACAATTTATAAAAATAGATTTTGTCAGGAAACTTACGATTTAAACAGTCTTGATCCATACTAAATTTGCACAAAATCATCAAAACACTGCTTTAGACGACTTTTTAGAGAATAAACTAAAAATATCAATATCCATGTACTTACGCAAAATAACACACTTTCTTGAAAACTAGTTTAAAAAGAAAATGAAAACTGTTTGTCCTAACGATATTTATTTTCATAAAAAAATTCCCTAAATACAGGAATAACATGACTTTATTGTAAAGAAACTCGAAAAAAATGTCTTATGATATGTAATTAAACGTTTAACTGGGCTGACAAGACAAGTAGTTGAAACGAAATATCATTTTCCTACGACCACTTAGGATAGTGACACATATCACACTATATAGTCCTATGGAAATTGCTCTATATCACACGCGTATGTATAGGAATTTACTTTCCACCCGTGTGCGAATATACTACTTTTCGCATCAGCTGTCACAAAATATCAAACGCATCATTTCTATTTTGATCTATGTAATGTTCATATTAATACTAAAATCGATATGAATGTTAAATTATTGAAATTGTTGCAAATTAGATCCTAGATATTTATCTTTAACAATTATTATTAAAATAATTTTAAAATAACTAAGTTATGTTTGCTTTTTATTCTGGTTAAACACATAACCGATTAGATCATTCAATTGACGCAAGGTCTATTAGCTAGGGTGGTAGAGTATCAAACTTTACTAACTTTGCCATTTGAGACCTGGCAAGCGACCGTGTTCAAATCCTTGTGGGACAGAATTTTTTTTGTTTTTTTATTTTTTTTTGTTTTTTTATTTTTTTTTGTTTTTTTTGTTTTTTTTTTGTTTATAAAATACTAGCGGACCCTACAGACGTTGTCCTGTCTTAACTATGAATATTGATTTCGAATTCGTATTATTAACTAGAAAAATATTTCAGAAACAAAGTGTTTATTATTCTTATATTAGGCGTGATAGCTCTGAACTAACGGTGATGTGAACTAAGAAATAAATAAATTATTTTATATAGCATTTTTTATCAACTTATGCAATTATAATTATTTATTTTATTTATGCAGAATTTTTTTTTGTTTAATATTAATTCAAGTTTTTTCTTTAATATTAATTCAAGTTACACTTTTTAAGCGTAGTGACTGATAAGAAATCAAATTATTTTTTTTTATTGAATAAATGAAAAGTTAATATTGTATAAAATATTTTTATTATCTTACAATGCATGTAGGTTATTCAGGAATTTTTATCATTGAAACTATAGGTTTAAGGTAACTGAAATAAAAAACATTAGTTTGAGACTTGATATCCTCTAAATATCTGAAAAATACCGCGTCAATGGTGGTCCCACATTTTGTTGTGGATTCTTGTGGATCATTATTAATTTTCAAATTCAATTTTTCCGAAATTGTGTCTAAACGAGATAGAATCAGTTACGAGCAGTTAGCAGCTAGTCTACATGCATACGTCTAGTCGCGCGCATACAAATACCGTGCCGAAGTCTGCCGAACTGAAACGACGTTAGAGGATGCACGGCTATGAACGCCGCACCGCTGTGCCGGTCGAAGTAGGGTGTGTTAGGTTTATTTACATTACGGAATTTCTTTTTCGATTTTTCTATTTTTCGATTTTTTGATTTTTTTATTTTTTGATTTTTCGATTTTTCGATTTTTCGATTTTTCGATTTTTCGATTTTCAGATTTTTCGATTTTTCGATTTTTCGATTTTTCGATTTTTCGATTTTTCGATTTTTCGATTTTTCGATTTTTCGATTTTTCGATTTTTCGATTTTTCGATTTTTCGATTTTTCGATTTTTCGATTTTTCGATTTTTCGATTTTTCGATTTTTCGATTTTTCGATTTTTCGATTTTTCGATTTTTCGATTTTTCGATTTTTCGATTTTTCGATTTTTCGATTTTTCGATTTTTCGATTTTTCGATTTTTCGATTTTTCGATTTTTCGATTTTTCGATTTTTCGATTTTTCGATTTTTCGATTTTTCGATTTTTCGATTTTTCGATTTTTCGATTTGTCTATTTTTCGATTTTTCGATTTTTCGATTTTTCGATTTTTCGATTTTTCGATTTTTCGATTTTTCGATTTTTCGATTTTTCGATTTTTCGATTTTTCGATTTTTCGATTTTTCGATTTTTCGATTTTTCGATTTTTCGATTTTTCGATTTTTCGATTTTTCGATTTGTCTATTTTTCGATTTTTCGATTTTTCGATTTTTCGATTTTTCGATTTTTCGATTTTTCGATTTTTCGATTTTTCGATTTTTCGATTTTTCGATTTTTCGATTTTTCGATTTTTCGATTTTTCGATTTTTCGATTTTTCGATTTTTCGATTTTTCGATTTTTCGATTTTTCGATTTTTCGATTTTTCGATTTTTCGGTTTTTCGATTTTTCGATTTTTCGATTTTTCGATTTTTCGATTTTTCGATTTTTCGATTTTTCGATTTTTCGATTTTTCGATTTTTCGATTTTTCGATTTTTCGATTTTTCGATTTTTCGATTTTTCGATTTTTCGATTTTTTGATTTTTCGATTTTTCGATTTTTAGATTTTTCGATTTTTCGATTTTTCGATTTTTCGATTTTTTGATTTTTCGATTTTTCGATTTTTCGATTTTTCGATTTTTCGATTTTTCGATTTTTCGATTTTTCGATTTTTCGATTTTTCGATTTTTCGATTTTTCGATTTTTCGATTTTTCGATTTTTCGATTTTTCGATTTTTCGATTTTTCGATTTTTCGATTTTTCGATTTTTCGATTTTTCGATTTTTCGATTTTTCGATTTTTCGATTTTTCGATTTTTCGATTTTTCGATTTTTCGATTTTTCGATTTTTCGATTTTTCGATTTTTCGATTTTTCGATTTTTCGATTTTTCGATTTTTCGATTTTTCAAAATATATTCTTAAATTTTCTAATTTTCCGCGCAATTTTCTTAATTTTTTCTTTTTTAAAAATCTTCTCCTGACAATAATAAACACAACAACAGACGAATTAGCGAAATCGGTCCAGCCGTTCACGCGTGATGCCGTGACCAAGGGAAATAGGGATTCATTTTTATATATGTATATAAATATATGGGAAAAAGGAAAGTGCTGTTTTTAGGGTTTTCCCGGAAATTATTCTAATTTTCTCACCTTTTAAACCTTCCCTATACCTACACGAACATTTCAAGACCAAGATAAGATAAATCCGTTCGGCCGTTTTCGAGTTTTAGCGAGACTAACGATCAGCAATTCATTTTTATATATATAAATTGTATAAATACGATTATTATTGATTGTTTTTTAAATTCGTTTTATTTATTATAAACAATTGTCCTATGATATTAAGGTCCACAATCGCATGCACAACAAACGGTGGTACCAGCAGAGGTTGCCACAGTGTTACTTTTGGTTAAACGTATAAGGATAATAATTATTAGTTCCCAATGTTTCAAGGTTCGAAATACTTAATATGGAGCTTAATATTTAACAGTTCATTTGAGAATCTGGATCATATTCATAAAATTTCTCATTAAATTTTCTTCTGCATTGAATCGGTATTTAAATTAGATTTTTAGATTTTGTTCACTACGATCCATCGGTTTAACCATTAAATACTATTATTTTAACTGGACATTTGGCAACCCTGTTTCTGTATGTTTTTAAAAGTGTCATTTGGTGTTTTATTTTAGTGAAAAATTCTTGTTTTATTTATTTATATAAAAGAAATTATTTACAAACGTGATTATATATTTCAAAATAGTAAAGAGATGCATAGTTTTCCGAATTATTTTGTTGAATTAGAAACTTTTTGTTTTATCCTTTTTTGAAGAGTAAATGAAAGATTCATAAGTGTTATTTTATCACATTTTTTTTGAAACCATGAACTCATAATATATTCTAAGCAGCAAAGAAGATATGGATGTCACTAATAGCCTCAAAACTATATTATTATATCGCTGGTCTTAAAAGCAGCATCACTTTATTGTATTGATGATTATTTCTCTCGTGATAATTCGCATATTGAATGCTTTACTAACCCATGCCCATTTTGCCGAATTCACACTTTATTTACAGAAAAAACTCAGCATACCTTAAAAAATTACATTCTTGACCAATTTTTTAACAAATCTTTTCATACGCGTTTTAAATGAGTATTTTGTGATTTTATATGTTTATTTAATTAGCAAAGTGTCATATTTTAACAGCGTAATCTACATCCTAAAATAGGAGTAAAAGTTCATATAAACATAGGTCCGTAAACCTTTCGTTTTCGAGATACAGGGTGTTACAAGTGAAGTCCTGATGGCACATTTTTGTAAATATTTTCTAAAATTTATTTAGTCACCGGTTTTCCAAAGTTAAAAAAAATAAAATTTTTGATTCCACGGGCGTACTAATTATTGTTTGCAATTTCGAATAACTTATCATGAAATTTTCAAATGCTTTTCTCTTAAAAATGGTGCGTCCTAGAGAGATGTTACAAATGTAGCTTTATTATAAATGAAAATATTGATTTTTCAAAATTTACAGTCAAAAATGTTAAAAACTGTCAACAAAAAAAACTTTTACCCTAAGCCCTCCTTAATTTACCCACCTATGAAAATGATCAATAACTGAGGTTTAGTCCATTATATAGAGCGTAAAAAGGTTAGCATTTGTACCAAATTTCCCTTAGTTTTCTTTAAACGTTTAGAAAATATTTACAAAAGTGTGTCATCAGGACTTCTTTTTTAACACCCTGTATCTCGGATAATAAACTTTTACGGACCTATGTTTATATAAACTTTTTTATTACTATGGTATAAGAAATATATGGGGTGGCTCATCTGAGTATGTACATTTTATTCTGAAAAACCCTGTATATTGTAAAAAAACTAACTATCGTAGAGTATAAATATAATATTTTTCACTTACGTTTACCGATAATGTTCAAAGCTTTGTTAACTTGGTCGAGTTTTTTTGTTGCAACATTTCTGGTAATGTTAACAACTTGATCTTGCACACCAACGTAATCGTCATCAATGTTATCGATAATGGTTTCGGCTTCGGTAAGGATTCGGTTAACTACGATTTCGCTTTTATCGACAATCTTCTTGATGAGTTTTACGATGACAGTGATGTCAATGTCATTAACGGCTTTGGATTCAACCTGTAACAAAAATAATCATTCGCAACTACTTTCCAGATATTGGACCACATGATATAAGCAAACTTGCTCTCCCAATTACAAGGTACTAACAGTAGTGTGCCTTTGTCTGATAATAGCATAACTGAGTTGAAATCGCTTGAAGAATGTCTTATGGCAGTGCTTATTTTATCAGCAATAATCGCACTTTTAGATCTTAATCGTTCAGTTGTAGCTTTAACACGTTAAGTAGAGCTAACCCATTGTTTCACCGTTTCAAAATAGCTAGATTTCAAACCAGTGAAATGAAAGATTTCTTGTTCATACGGTTAGTAATTACAACAAGCCAGTTCACCAGCGCGATGCAGCGGACACAATTTTACAAAGGCGATCAATAACAGTAGAGGAATGCGCATTCTGTTGTAACAGTATCTTATCTATTCGGGTTGCCTCTACATCTTTGGTATTAGGGAATCTAAAAATTATGATTATTGATTATGTTTACGATGGGGTTTTGTCCCTAGTAAATAAAGGGTGTCCAAATTTGACATTCCGATTTAAATTGACCGCCATTTTTGGTAATCTTCATTGACAGTATTTCTATGATGACATATGTCAAGCAAAAACTTTGCGAATACTTGTTTTTTGGTCAACATGGAACAAACCCCGTTTATATTGTGGAAACTTATTACCAAAATGGGATGTTTTGCTAAAACTGCAAGAAGATGTCGCACGCATTTCGAAAGAAATTTAACACCATTTGTTAAAGTTATTGAGAGTTTTATGAACAGATTTCAACAGCGATTTCGTAAAATATGTGGTGAAGAAAATGCAAGAGAAATATTGAAAACACGACTGCATCCAGTAAATGTGACTGTGTGGTGTGGTTTTGGTCTGGTGGCGTTATTGGTCCTTATTTTTTCCAGAATAAAACTGGTGATGCGATAACTGCGAATGGAACACGATACAGGACAATGATTATAGATTATTTGTGGAATTAATTAGGAGGTATGGATCTCCGTAACATGTGGTTCCAGCAGGACAGTGTCACTTGCCACACATTGGATAAAACACAATATTTTAGGAGAGATTTGGTAATCGATTAATTTCTCGAGGAGCTGAGGTTAATTGTTTGCATAGGTCGTGTGACCTTAACCATTCTATTCTTTCTTATGTGGTTTTTTTGAAGGCAAAAGTTTGTGCTAATATACCTGAACAACTTCGAGTTAACATTATCTAAACAATTGAAGAAATTGAACAAAATGTTTGCGAAAATGTTATTAAAAATTCTGTAAAAAGAATGTTAGCATGCTAAAGAAGCAGAGGGGTCACATGTCGGATATCGTTTTAATTATTAACCGTAGCATTTAAACTTTAACATAATACAATAATATTGTAATATTTCAAGGGTTTTCTGTATTTTATAATTAAATTAAAACCGAAGGTTAAATTTGGACACCCTGTATTATCGGCTTGGGCCCATTGAAGTAAACTGTAAACCTTTTCCAGAAAAACAACACTGATGAATATTACTTTCGTTAAATTAACGATATGAATTTTATGAATAAAACGACATAAACGATATGAATTTGCTGATCCCTGGCTTGCGGATAGGTTCAGCACGATAGAATAAATCGCTACATGTGGAACGATTTGACTAGCTTGGGGGTCAAAGAAACGATACGTATTATTTGGTACCTTACCTAAATCTATATTGGACTTGTCTGCTTAGATACAGCGTGTATAATGTATTTAGTTCCATGCGTAAGACAGAGGAAGGAGATTGCTAATTATGAGATGGCGATATGCTGGAATGTTCTCGATTGTTACTCGGCGGGATTTGCAAGTGGCATAAGTGATAATGATAATATCGCTTATAATATTGGCAGAGTTCGTCTGGACTTCATTTAAAGAGTTTCTTTAGCACCTTTTCTAGTCAAATCACCTTTTTATACTAGTTATCAATATTTAGCTAGTTTTTCTTACTTTAAGTTATACCACATCACTTAACCAATATCATGTTACTGGTTAAGAACAATAATAACTTAATTTTAATTCACTTTTCATCAAGATAAGTACTTTTTATTTTTCTCTGCTTTGTCATATCGTGTCATTTAATTTGTTTGTAAGTTTTATGGTAGATGCCCCTTCGATTTATATCTATATTAAGAAGGAACATGAGTGTGATCAATCGAACAAAAGAAACAACATTATGCCGATTCTGTGAAGAAAAAAAGGAAATATGCATCCAAGTCTTGTGCCAATCTGAATGCCTGGTTAGATTGAGGCTTCTAAAATTAGGCGAAGAAAAGCCAGACAAATGGAACTACTTGCGAAAGCAACTGTCAAAGCTACTAAGTCTAATAAAAAAGACCAAGCTAGTCGACATACTCTAAGAAACGGAGTCCCATAATAGATCTGAAAAAGTCGCAGTAGAGGACAAAGTCAAAAAATTTTCAACTCCTTTCAAATTCTAAAGCTTAAAACAGCAAGAGATCCGGATAACTGGAAAGCATACAAGAAACTAAGAAATAGTTTCACATACTTGGTAATTTATGAAAATAAGTCATGCAGGTAATGTCAAAAATACATGAAATGCGTTTAAAAACAAAATGCTTTTTCTAGCAACAATATTTGAGTTTCGCTCCACTTAAATGACCAAAAAGATATACTTAAATGCATTTTTTATTATTTCAGTGAAGAATTTAAAACATCAAGCAGACCCTTCTTTAGTCCAGTAGTGTTCTGGATCTAGGATTTCTGAACAAACTCAGTTGTTTTGGAAAAACATGTAATGGAAGCAATTCCAAGAATATAATCAAACTCTGTAGGTTATGATGGTATCACACTAAATTTGATATGATTAAGATACGCTGCCCTCATATTGTGCCATACTTGACCTACATATACAATTTTATTGTTGCATTGATAAAGGATATTTCCCAGTTAAGTGGAGAAATGCCTGTGTTACTCCTCTTGTCAAGGTGAATAACCCCAAATAGATTTGTGATTTTAGGCCAATTAGGTATTGAAATAACAGTATTACTTAAAATCTTGTAAAGAATTATCTATACACAGATGGTAGCATATTTTATAGCAAATAGATTCATTTTACTTATTTTCAACCTAACCTACAATAAATAGCTTGCTTTCAGATATTCAGTCTCGATTTCGTAGAGCGCCGTTACAGCCTTGACTAAAGTATTGGATGATACACTGGTTACTATGATGATATATAGCAACGGTAATATTGTTGTATTTCAGTAAGGCTTTTGAAACACTGAGATAAAAGCTATTGCTGCATTACTATGGTTTTGCTGTTCATACTGTTCGCATCATAAATTCATACTTTCTAATCGATTTTAATATTATGTGTCTATGGATGATAAAATTTCAAACTGTGGATTAATAACAAAGTGGGTACGACAAGGTTCAAGTCTGGAATCCTTACTGTTTATATTTTATACAAATAAAATAATTATAAAACACATTAATTTGCTGATGACACACAAATAATATATAAAACTTTAAAAAATATGAATTCCATCAGGCTTGTTTAAATAATAATACAACCAAACTCATTTGGGAATAATAGCTGTCAGTACTTTGAATATTGTGATTGACTGAAACAAAATAAAGCCTATTGTTACTTTTAAATTAAGACTAGTGGTCGATAGGTTTCAGCTAGAGCTTAAAGCCATATTGCAAAAATGTTACATCTTTCTCAAAAATCAAAATATTTTTTAAATTTTCGTCTATGAAAAAAATTGTGTCAATCTCTTGTCTTAAGTCATTTGAATTAGGCTAATGTACTTTATGGACCATGTAACTATGTTTGAATACTCGTTCTACAACATGAAGTAAGCGTGTTCAGAATTCTTTTATAAGACTTATTTTCTCTCTTCGAAGATCCGATCATGTGTCGAAAAATGTATTTAGTTGAAATGGCTGAATATGAGTAATCGAATAAAAATAAATTTAGCTTGTCTAGTTTATAAAGTAATACAAAATATAACCCCATTGTACATTTTCAAAAAGTTAAGTGTCAAATTTTTCATCCATAATCGTCATAGAAGGTATTGACATCTTTTTGTACTTATTAAACATAAAACGTCTCTATATGAGAGATCATTTTCTTATAATGCCAGCGTATTATTTAATAAAATGCCTAGTAATAATAAAAGTAAATTGTAACAGCAGTTTTAAAAGAGCCCTAAAACATTATCTTTTGGGTACAAAAAAAAAAATACTACATTATCCTCATTTACTCGATTATTTTCACCATATTCTTTCATTAGCTATTTTTTTATATTTTTTCGTATTGTTTTATTCTTGTGTTACTTTTGGTAGAGAAGCTACAAACAAGCCCTTTTATTGATATTAATATTATTTAGTGGGACCCGAGAACAACAAAAGTACATGCAAGCGAAGGTGGGATAATTTTCAAAAATAGCATGTTATAATTGCTTGTGTAAATTGGCCAATATCTGCTCCTAACGGGAATTCATTGGAAGCAACCCACACTCTCCACAAGTGGACACACATTGTCAAAAGAAAGAATATATATTATAATGATTATCTTGCTTCAAGATCGTAACAGATAATTTTGACATTATATCAATGTTTAACGACTTTATTTAAAGTAAATTAAAAAAAAATTACCTGTGTGGTTAAGAGGAAAGCACCAATGATGAGGAAAGCAATCTTGAGACCAGCCATGTTCTTCTATTTTATTTTCTGAACTGTATACTCGAATGAAAACAAATCTCGATTTTTATATAAAAATTCAGTTCGTTATCAGTGGGTACTTGCATTATGCTAATAATGAAATCGATATTTTAATTGATTGAATCGACCTGTTTTAATAAAAAATGTGCAATAATAAATTGATAATAATTTTGTTATCTCCTGGCACCTGCTTGTCGCATATGTTTGACTAAATGGGCTCTTAAATTTGCAAAAATAAAGAGCATGAATTAAATATTTGACAATTTAAGATTTCTGGATCATTAGATCCCAACAGTTGGTTAAATTATTATGTTTTTCTACACCCACATGGATATTACCTTATCTACGCACAGACTACAAAACGAAAAAGTATGCTATTGCCACAGTGTATAGCTAAAGAATCAGTTAGCTCACTCGGACCAATTGGATGTTTCAAAATAACATCCACTCCAGAGATACAAATTCAGGATACGCACAAGACTGCTGCTTTAATATAGGAGGTTGTCATACTGTATTGGTTATAGTAAGAGAGGCCACTGTAAATTTCGACCGTCATCTGATAACGAAATTAAATATGCTCCAAAAGCATGTAACAACATTGTACTTTACCAAATTGTACCTGTGCCAATCCCTATCCTGAGCAAAGTGGTTAAAAAAATTATTGTCTATTCAAAAAATCACATAAGACATGACAGCGACCATTGTGTTTTTCCTGAAAATTACAATTCTAATTCATCGTTAACCTAGCTTTTTAACCTGAATTATTAATAATTTTACCTAACTTTTAAACTATATGTATGTGTGGAAGAAAAAACGATGGCATTGTATAAACCATTTGCAGAGATAGTCAATAATAATTATAAACTCTTGTTACATAATAATTCTTTTAAACCATAATCATAGTAGTTTTTTGTCGTGTCTATAACAACCTGTAAAAATTAATCACAACATTAATAGGCAAACAAATAAATTTTTAAATCTGCAAAAATTTATTCATATTAATGATTTTTACCTACTAATCGTGGATAGATATTTTTTTCGATGTTAAGAGAAAGAAAATGTTTCCGTTTAACGATATACAGAGTGGGCCACCGAAAACTTTACACCCCGATTTTACAGCTTTGAAATGAAAATCGTTGGTTTTTTCATCCATGTAACTTCAACCCTCTAACAGGGGGAAACACAACTCCCTGATTTTGATGAGGGATGTTGCAATGCCTCATTTTAAAGATCACATCGAGTACTATCTGACCATAAAATTTCGCGTCAAAATTTTTATCGATAACAGCTAAAACAGTGAAAGAGATAATATGGAAAAAATGTCGTAATGTACTTAATAACAAACGAAAGGGAGTTGAAAATAAGAAAATTGATTGAAGGTTGTCAATTTGACCAGTGTCAGATAAAAACCAAATTTAGCTTTTTAATTATAAACTAATTTATTAGCTTATAGTTCTACATATTTTCAAGCCCAACAAAAGTTTTTGCATAGTAAATACTTCGTTAAAGCAGTCTAACGTAAAAGCTTTATCTTACCCCAATATGGGGGAAGATTCCCCAGGAAGTAGTAATCCACAACAAACACTACGTGCCATTATTAAATCTAAGCTTACTACAGAACAAAATGAATTACTGAACTCTTTACATCAGCTATCACCAGCACAAAATAAGTCTTTATTAGATCTTGAGAAGGAACTGTATAAAACCCTAGAAGAGTTTAAGGATAATGAAGAAGTGTCCAGAGAAATAATACAATTGAAAAATAAAGTTACTGCTTGTAAATCTAAAATAGTCACTTATTCGCAATCAGATTTTGGCCCTTTTACAGTAATAGTAGAACAAAAAGTTAATGGAGAAAACATACCGAGTCTACATCCTATGGACTTGGGAAAAAGATTTCATGCTCTAGGAATCTCTAATGTTAAAAGTATTAAAAAGAAAGGCAAACACAGAGTTGGAGTAAGTTTTAATCTTCCACATGAAGCCAATAAAATACTTTTTAACTAGACACTCTTACGTGAAGGTTATAAAATATACATTCCTCAAAGGTTTTTAACGGTCAAAGGCATTATTAGAGATGTAGGCTATTCCATTACAAGTGAAGATATTTTACAAAATGCTGGCAACAAATACAATATTATAGAAGCCCGTAGACTAAACAGGAGAAAAGTCACTCAAGAAGGAATTCAGTATCTACCTTCATCTACTTTTTTACTAACTTGTAAAGGAAAAAAAAGACCTGAAGAAATTGAAATTTACACGTACCATACTAAAGTGTTTGCTTATGTTCCTCCTGTTACGCAATGTAGAAACTGTTTGAGATTTGGCCATGCCCAAATTCAATGTAGAAGTAAAAAGCGTTGTAACTGCTGCGGTGAAAGTCATGAAAATTGTGATAAAGAACCTGTATGTATTTTTTGCGATCAGAATCACAAATCTACAGATAAAAATTGCCCTGAGTTTTCCCGCCAGAAGAATATTAACGAACTAATGTCCTTTCAGGATTTGTTATATTATGAGGCATCACAATTATCTCCTCCCATTATATCCAGAAATATCAACAAATTTAATTTTCAACGTACCCCTCAGTCTTTTCCTCCGTTAAATGCCACTCTCTCTGAATCATCCTCTTCAGCAAGACGGTCTTATGCAAAAGTTACTATGACACCAAAAAGGAAAAAGGTAAACGTGATTGAAAAAACAGGCTATGATATATTAGCACATAAAGGAGCTCTGCTTCCTCAACCGACCAGATTAGTATCTCAATCATCAGTATATCAATATACTCAAGAGAAGGTCACACCAAACACAAAATTAGACTCTCAACCCTCAGTTTATCAATGTACTCAAGGTAAAATAACACCAGATAATCTATCTCTTCCGCATTCTTCTCTAAAAAGTTCCTGGATTGATATCCATTTAGACGCATCTGACAATAACAATCCTAATGATTCCGAGAGCATGTTAATTGATGATATTCCAAATACTCCTTTCTCTTTTTCATTTCCAAAAATTTAAATATAAGACAAATTCGAACTGCTGCACATTTAGCAATTTATATCATAATAAGTATTTAAAATAATTTAAGTAACCTATTTTAATTATTATTTAGAGTAATTTTAATGGACTTAAAAATTCTTCATTGGAATATTCGTAGTTTTTTTACGAACAAAGATACACTGGTAAACTTAATTCGAGATTTCAAGTTGGACATAGTGTGCTTAAATGAAACATTTCTAAAGTATAATCAAATATCTTTTATTCGAGGTTTTGACTGTATAAGACACGACAGGTATGATGGGTACGGGGGAGTAGCCATACTTATTCATAATAACATTCCGTTTAATCGAATAATCCTAACAAATATATTATTACCTGACTCTTGGCAAATTGTAGTAATAGAATTACCTCCTTTAATTCTTATTAGTATTTACATAACCCCTGACACAGTTTTATCTAGGAACATTCTTAATAATGTGTTCACTTTCATTAGGGCAAAATCACATAAACCAATTGTTTTAATAGGGGATCTTAATACTCAACATACGGCCTGGGGCTCTGGTTATTGTAACAGGAATGGTTTAACTCTTGAAAAGTTTCTAGATGACTACGGACTTGTCATACTCAATGATGACACTCCCACTAGAATTACTCGTCCAGATGAAAGAGCTAGTGCTCCCGACGTATGTATCTGTCCTCCGGAACTGGCTACTAAATCAAATTGGCAAGTAATATATGATTCTGGGACCAGTGCCCACCTTCCTTGCCTTGCACACTTTAGTAATGGAGATAAAGGAAAAATAGACCATAGTAGAACAACTCTTGGGCGATTTAATACTAAAAGAGCTAATTGGCCACTATTTACATCAACCATAGAAGCTGAATTTAATACTATAGACAGAACATACGATGAATTTTCTAAAATCATAATTTCGGCTGCAAAGAGGACAATTCCATTAAAAAAATGTAAAAAGGTTGGTAAACCTCGAAACGTTTGGTTGGATGATGCTTGTACAGTAGCAATTCAAGCACGCAAGGAGGCCCTTCGACAATACAAAGAAAATGCAACGATTGAGAACTTCGAGCAAAGACAAGAAGAATACTAAGAGAACAGAAAATGCAAAATTTTCAGAAATTTTGCTCTAGCTTATCTCCGAATAAAAAGATATCAGAGATATGGAATGTGGTAAAAGCTTTTTCTAATTCACAAAAACAATAACGTCGATGTCCACCTCTCAATTCTAACATTGGCCCTTTATTATTACAAAAGCTTACTGATAATATTGATCAGGATAACATATCTGAAATAAATTTTTCTGTGAAAACAAGTAAACCTTTCACTTTAGATGAAATTAATTCTGTTCTCCAGGAGAAAAAGGACACGGCTCCAGGTTTAGATAACATATCAAATAGTATGCTATCCCACCTTCCTTTAAGTGGTCTAGAATATTTATTAAATATATATAATAGAGTTTTAACAAATTTAGTACCTATTCCTCAAGAGTGGAAATCTCAACTGGTGACGCCTGTACCCAAGCCTGGAAAAGATATTAGTTCTACGGAAGGTTGGAGACCTATTAACCTTTCCTCCTGTCCCGGTAAATTATTTGAATCATTAATTAAAAACAGAATAGAGTGGCATTTAGAAAATAAAAGCCTGCTTAATTCAAAACAGTCAGGTTTTCGACGAGGAAGAGGAATTCAGGATAACTTAACGGCTTTGTATTCATTAATTGCTACAAGCCTAACTGACAGAGAGGATGCTGTGGTAGCTCTGCTTGATATATCATCAGCTTATGACAATGTAAATATTTCAAAATTATTTAAAAGGTTAGCGGAATACACACTCCCGGAGGATATTTGTAGAATTTGCATTTCCTTATTGTCGCAGCGAAGCATTAGCGTTTTGGATCCGTTATCTGGCAATATTATAGGCCCACGTATCACAAATAAGGGAGTTCCTCAGGGATCCCCTTTAAGCCCGATATTAT